CCAATATGATCTGATATTATTTATTTGATCACAAAAAACCGTGAAATCAGACGAAGATATCTAAACCCAAACCTGAACTAGTCTCGATAAAATTTGGCAGAGGCATTTCTGATCTATATATGATATCTGGTACCAAACATCATTGTTGTGGGTTGCATATTACGAATGTGGACGACTAGACGGACAGACGTGCACAAATCGACTAAGAATGCTATTCTATAAAGATCATCAAAAGGTATAGGTCTATCTCGCTTCCAATTGCCTGTTAAAAACAAATGCAAAAAGACATAATTCCCGTACAGGGTAGGACTTAAAAATTCGGATGCCTTAAATTTGAAGAATATATGACAGTGATTTTAACTTTTCACGAGAATTATTATTTTTTTAAAATTGTGAAAATTTATACAAGGGGTAGGCGCTATTATTAACCTATGTCAAAATTACGTTCAAAATTTAAACTGTATCGGGCGCTTCCTTTCCTCAATATGAGAATTAAAATGTTGACAATTTTTTATTTATTTATTTTTTTTTTGTGGAGGAGGTCTTAAATGTAGGGTATCAATATCTCCATGCCACAATTTGATCTAAGTTTGGATGAAATCCTCTGTAGCCATTATGCTGAGGTTATACAAAATTGGCAATGTGGGTACTTAATAGATGATAGCTTCGACTATAGGGCTCCTCGCGAAAAATTAATCATGTTCTCAGAGGATAGGTCCCCGATTTGGTTAATTTCTCATTTTTATATCCTCCACCTTGGAAAGGAGGGTATATTAACTTTTACATTCCGTTTGTAACATCCTTAAATATTCGTCGTAGACCCCATAAAGTATATATATTCATAATCAGCATAAAATTCTAAGTCGATTTAACGATGTCCGTTTGTCTGTCCGTCTCTCTGTCTGTCTGTTGAAATCACGATACAGCCCACATTATTTGACGTAGAGCGTCGTATTGTGTCTAGGATGGTTGGTATTGAAAATGAGATATATCGGTCCACGTTCTGGTATGTCCCCATATAACGGTACCTCCCGACATTCGGTATTTTGATGATTTATGCCACATTTTTTCACGGATTTGTCCATGAATTAGTATTTGTAGGTCATTATAGGTTCTAGCTCCGGTGACGGAACATTGTATGTATAGGTCCACGTTTTCGTGTAGCCCCCACATAATAGTACCTCCCGATATTCAAATTTTTTCACGGATTTGTACAAAAATTGGTATTTGTTGGTAATAATGGGTTTCAGCTCCGGTGGCGAAACATTGCATGTATGGGCCCACGATTTGGTATAGGCCCCATATAACGGTACCTCCCAATATTCGGTATTTTGATGGTTTTTGCCACATTTTTTCACTGATTTGTCTAAAAATAGGTATTTGTGGGTCATAATAGGTCCTTGTTCGTATGGCGAAACAATGTTTGTATAGTTCCACGTTTTGGTATAGTCCCCATATAAAGGTACCTCCCGATATTCGGTATTTTGATGATTTTTGATACATTTTTTCACGGATTTGTCTGAAAATTGGTATTTGTAGGTCATAATGGGTTCTAGCTCCTTTGGCGAAAAATTGCATGTGTAGGTCCACCATTTGGTATAGCCCCCATATAACGGTACCTCCCGATATTAGGCATTTTAATGGTTTTTGCCACATTTCTTCTAATGTTTCCTTTACCCTACGGTGGAGGGTATTAAAGTTTGGCCCGGCCGAACTTAATGTTTTTTACTTGTTTGCATTCGGAAGGTTTCAGCAACAACTTTCAACAGAAAGTTAGCTTCCGAACGAAATGAAGAAGGTTGATAACATTTTACTCAAATGTATATTATGTCTGCAGGACCTTTGGTATTGAAAATGGGTCATGTAGGTCCACGTCTTCGTATAGCCCTCATATAACGGTACCTCCCGATATTAAGTATTTTGATGATTTCATCGACATTATTCACCAGGATTGTTTCAAATTTGGTATTTGAAGTTCGTAATGAATACTACAGTCTATAACAGAAAAGTTTCTGTGCAGTTCCGCGTTGTGATATTTTATGATTTTAGCTACATTATTCAACAATTTTTTTTCAAATTTCGCATTTGAATATTGTAATGGCTTGTGAAGAATGTTGCGTCGTATAGACCCTGATATAAAACAGAATTGTTAACGGATTTTATTTTTTTTGAAAATTGCCAAATTCGTTCGAAATGGTGGAGGACATTCAAAGTTCGGCTTGACCGAACTTACAGCTTTGTTACTTTTTTTCAATTGATATCAATCATCGTTTATTTGAAGACCTTTGTCAACCTAGATATGTGTATCCATCAGCCTATTGCGGATATGGTTCGATCCTCATAAAATTCTGATTTGGATATAGACATCACCCTTTTCAGATGTAATTCGAGTAATTCCAAATCTAATTCGAATTGTTTCATCTGTAATTTGAATTATTCCAATTATAATCCGAATTTTTATAATTGTAATTTTATTTGAATTACTAATATAATTCTTAAATTACAATTAAATTGTTTCGAATTGCATGTGTAAAGGTGTAGTCATCTTAAACCATCTGCCAATCCCACCAAAATGTTTCTGGAAATCCTCTTTTGCGACCCGGAATGTCTTCAAAAAGTATTTTCTTGAAATTCACTTGATGTTTCAAAAAGCCCAAGATAATCATTCTTAAAGTCATCCGAATATTGTTTATATATTTCATTATTATCCGTTTGCTTCTAAAAATCTGTGGTTATCCGAAACGAAAAAATGTTCACCCCAGCATGTCTTCAACAATTTGTCTTATAATAATATATGACTAGCCTGTATATAAAATCCAAGATTATTATTTTGAAAGAAAAATATATCATCTTGGAGTTCAGAAATTTTGTGTTTAGTAGTTTTGGATAAAATTTGAAAATTCAAAATTATCGAATACACTCTTGTTAAATATATACTTCCACACAAGAAAGGATCAATAAATTTACAATTCCTTACACTCATCATAATTATTATTGAATTTTAGACAAATGTAACATGCAAATATTTGCAGGTTAATAAAAAAATCTCAAATTGTAAATAAAATGCATGAATGAATAATAATGAATGATTAGTGAGATTTCTGTGTTTCTTTTTTTTTTCAAAATGTAAATTTATGATATCATGCAACCTTAACGTTATGATGGTTTGTAGTTATTTGTTTAAATGTATTCCTCATTTCGAAAGGACACTCTACTGACGATAGGCATAAATAAACAAAATTGAAAAGAAAAACCAACAACAATAATAACAAAAATAATATTATAGTAATAATAAAAGGAAAACAATAAATTAAATAATTAAACACAGGTATATAATTTAATAAATATTATTGTATATATATTAAAAGGGAAAGAAAAAAACTTAAAGCATTGTAATAATATTTAATTTGGGTGACACACGTGGGCTGGTAAAGGGGTCTGGTCAGGAGGATTTCTATAGCAGAAGACTTTTGAGGAACTTCTATAGACAGAAGACCTTTTGAAGGTCTTCTATAGGCAGAAGACCTTTTGAAGGTCTTCTGTAGACAGAAGAGCTTTTGAGGGTCTTCTATAGACAGAGGAGACCTTTTTAGGGTCTTCTATAGACAGAAGTCCTTCAAAAGGACTTTTGTAGACAGATGACCTTTAGAAGGGGTTCTATCGATACAAACCTTTAGAAGATCTTCTATCGATACAAGACCTTTAGAAGGACTTCTATAGCCAGAAGGCCTTTGAAGGTCTTCTATAGACAGACGATCTTTAGAGGTCTTCTATAAACAGAAGACCCTTTAAAGGTCTTCTATGGACAGAAGTCCTTTTGAAGGACTTCAACTCACAGAAGACCTATTAATGGTCCTCTATATTCAGAAGTTCTTTTGAAGATCTTCTATGGACAAAGACCTTTTGAAGGTCGTCTATAGACAGAGGACCTTTTGAAGTTCTTATATAGACAGCAGACCTTTTAAAGGTCTTCTATAGACAGAAGACCTTCTATAACGGTCTTCTGTAAACAGAAGACCTTTTAAAGGCCTTCAATAGACAGCAGACAGCAGACTTCTATGGACAAAGACCTTATGAAGGTCTTCTATAGAAAGATGACCTTTTGAAATTCTTCTATAGACAGCAGACCTTTTAAAGGTCTATAGACAGCAGACCTTTCAAAGGTCTTCTATAGACGGCAGACAGAAGACCTTCTGTAAAGGTCTTCTATAGACAGAAGACCTTCTATAAAGGTCTTCTATAGACAGAAGATCTTTTAAAGGTCTTCAATAGACTGCAGACCTTTGAAGGCCTTCTATAGACAGACGATCTTTTGAAAGTCTTCAACAGGAAAAACCTTTTGAAGGTCCTCTATAGACAGAAGATCTTTTAAAGGTCTTCGGCACACAGAAGACCTTTTGAAAGTTTTCTGTGGACAGAGAACCTTTTGAAGGTCTTCCATAGACAAAAGATCACTTGAAGGTCTTTTATACACAGAAGATCTCTTGAAGGTCTTTTATAGACAGAAGACCTTTTAAAGGTCTTCCATAGACGAAGACCTTTTGAAGGTCATCTATTAACAGAAGATCTTTTGAAGGTTTTCTATAGAGAGAAGATCTATTGAAGGTCTTCTATTCTTCCACAAAAAAAGTTGAAGAATCCTAGACCTGATTTTTCCAGCCCATGTGTTCAATTTTTAATCTCTTTTTATTTTTCAATTTACAGCCTTTTAAATAAGCCACATTTAAATAATTTTATTAACTTTACATAAACAACTTTCTTTCATTTAAATTTGTTAATTTAACCAAAAATTTTAAAATTTGTAATTACTTTTGAATTATTGTATTTCGAAACAAACAAAAAAATGCCAATTAAATACTTTTTTGGCATTTCCAAAAAAATGTTTCCATTTTAAATTTTGAAAAAATTGAAATTAAAAACAAATGTTTTTTTTAATTTTTAAGAGAAAACCATTTCAATGCTTTTTCATTTGTTGCAAAATTGTCATTGTTTGGGTTTACCTTTTTCCTGTTTTCGTCGTTTACGTTTATTGCAAATTTTTACGGCACAAACCGATAAAATGATCGCAACTATAAAAAACAGGATGCCCCCAACGACACCGGCTGTTATTGCTTTATGTTTGACACGGGCCGGTACCGGAAATTTCACCTCGTCACTGGATTCATAAGATTTTTCCGAATTGGCTAGAACACGAAAATAATACGTACGACCGCCAACTAAATTCTTAACTAAATATTGGGTCTCTTCCGGGCGTATTTGGCCCCGATTCAGCGTCTTCCACTGGGCATCGGTGCGATATTTGATCGTGTAGAATTTGACAATGTGGGCACGTTCCAGCGGTGCCTGCCATGAGATGAGAAAACCATTGGAGACTTCGGTAACGGTTAGGTTACGTGGTGGTCCAGGTTTGGGGCCTAAATGCAAAAGAGGGAGAGAAAGCAAAACAAGAAAAATAAATATATTAGTTTATTTTGTTATTTCGATTTTGGTGTTGTAAAAATTGTTAAATATTTTAAATTTTCTTTTGATCCATTTAAAGCTCTTTTTCCCAATTCGATTTTATAGGCTTTCCATATTACCTGCCTGCTGAAATCCTCTTAGCTTACTTTGTCTGGCTTCCACTAAAACATTGTAGCTACTTAAAATATAATAATATGTATGCGATTTAGCTGACTATGAAATGTAAATGGCCAATTATGCCATGAAATTTAATAGCTGCACTGATTTTCAATTAGACTTAAGCATTATTAGTTGTGTGGGGGTATGAGTTGCAGTTGTGGGTGGTATGAGAGGGGTATGTATGTAAGATGAATCAATGTCGGGATACAGTGTATCCATGAAAAACAAAAAATTTCAATTACTAAAGAGAAAGCTAAAATATATTTTAAAAATTCACTATTAAAACATGCTGAGAATTTGCGACTTTTTTGTAGACAAAAAAATAAATAAATTAAAAAAATAAATTAAAAAAAAAATAAATAAAAAATTGAAAAATAAATAAAAACTGTGTAATGACCAAGAAAAACAAATATTTTACATTGACGATACCTTTCTATATATATAGGGTTGCCCATATTCAATGGACCTTTGGGCGCTTTGGACCCATTCCAATCGATGAGGCTTGTCCGCAGGCAACATTCTTTGCGTCAATTGAATTTTGTACGGGAACAAGTGCAAATCAATGCGAATAATCCGTTGTAAAGTGGACCGAGCCATGCCCAACTGCTGAGAACGGCGTTTTTGGGATGTTCTTGGGGACCTCTCAACACTGGCTCGTACGGCACAATATTCTCGGCCGATCGCCTTGGTCGACTTTTATATGGCCTCTTCGGATTAGAAAGAGCCTTACCAGTCGAAAATTTTTCGTATAAACGCTTAATGGTGTTCTTAGAAGGCGCACTTCTCACATTTTTTAATGTTTTAAAAGCACGTTGAGTTTTCACAATTGACTTCTTCTATTGAATGTAAATTTCAGAGCGCTCGCGTGGCGTGTATTGGTTCATGGTAAAAATCTGCTTGGACTGACGCTTCAATCGCGGTATGTCATTAAGCGATGTGACATCTCTGTCAAAAGTTATGGCGTTGCCAGATGGGTCCCTCGAATATGGGCAACCCTGTATATTAAAGGGTAGTGAATTAACTGACCGAAAATCAACGCCCAGACCTGCGGCTGAGGCTAATATCATGAAATTTTGCAAAAGGATCAGTCTTGGTGTGTAGGCGTAAAATAACGCCAGGTTTGTGGAATATCATATTAAAACTAATAAGATGTACAAGAAATTGAGCACTTTGTATTTGAGAAAACAAACTGACCCAAAATTCGGAAATTTGAAATGAGAGCCACTGATGGAGGGCTGAATTGATGTACTTCATAAAATTGTAATAAACTTCTAAAATGGTACCATTTGGAATTATGTGAACGGATAGGGTCAAAAACTTAAGCCGAGGTTGAAAAGTAAGTTTGATAAATGAAGGTGGTTTCAGAAATGTTTACTAAGTATGCGAACTATAGTAAATGGTACCAAAATTGGAATTCTTTGATTTTTGGTAAATGGATGGAGCTGGAATTTTGTTTCTTTTTTTATTGAGGTCCGTGTTTGTGGTACTTTGCGAGAAATAAGTCGCTTTGGAAACTTATACTACAATTGCACGAAAATGACTAAATTGTACTATATTTAGTACAATTTGGTATGGGATGAACATATGCATAGGGTGAATGCTTGAAGTCTGAAATTTAACATTAGAGTCACGTATAGCCTGGACATATGGAGATGGTTTCGGAAATGTGTACTATAATTGTACGAAAAGTACCAAATAGTATCATATTTGTTCAAATTTCGTATTGGGTGAACATATCGAGCTTGAAATATAAAATTTGCTATAAGGGTAGCAGTTCATGCCTAGTCAATGGTGAGATAAAAAACTGCAACCAACTACAGACTGCTGTCATTTCTAACCCACTCGTCCAACAGCTGTTGAAATTATTCCAGTGACAGCTCATTATATGGTTTAGAAGCGTAGAATAGCATTGGTACCATTTGGAATTATGTGAACGGATAGGGTCAAAAACTTAAGCCGAGGTTGAAAAGTAAGTTTGATAAATGAAGGTGGTTTCAGAAATGTTTACTAAGTATGCGAACTATAGTAAATGGTACCAAAATTGGAATTCTTTGATTTTTGGTAAATGGATGGAGCTGGAATTTTGTTTCTTTTTTTATTGAGGTCCGTGTTTGTGGTACTTTGCGAGAAATAAGTCGCTTTGGAAACTTATACTACAATTGCACGAAAATGACTAAATTGTACTATATTTAGTACAATTTGGTATGGGATGAACATATGCATAGGGTGAATGCTTGAAGTCTGAAATTTAACATTAGAGTCACGTATAGCCTGGACATATGGAGATGGTTTCGGAAATGTGTACTATAATTGTACGAAAAGTACCAAATAGTATCATATTTGTTCAAATTTCGTATTGGGTGAACATATCGAGCTTGAAATATAAAATTTGCTATAAGGGTAGCAGTTCATGCCTAGTCAATGGTGAGATAAAAAACTGCAACCAACTACAGACTGCTGTCATTTCTAACCCACTCGTCCAACAGCTGTTGAAATTATTCCAGTGACAGCTCATTATATGGTTTAGAAGCGTAGAATAGCATTTTGGTGAGCATTTTCCAGAAAAAAGTAATTCGTGATGGAATTTAAGCATGATAGTGTGATTTCCTTATATTTGGCTGGAAAACCACAAGTGGCTATCGTTAGAGCACTCCAGCATTTAAATGTGAATAAAAAATTTGTGTACCGTACCATCGCTCGTTACCGTGATGCTGGTAGCGTAGCCTGAAGTGGACGAAAGAAAACAACAACATCAGCAGAATTGGTTCGAAAAGTAAAGAAGCGACTTGATCGAGACACGCGTCGCAGTGGCCGAACATATCGCAATATTTCATTCGGCAAATATTCAAAAAAGTGAGCTCGGGATAAAGCCATTGAAATTCCAAAAAGTGCAAGAACTTACACCGCAACATAAAGAAAATAGACTCAAAAAGAGTTAAGAGTTGCTTCGCTTGGCCGAAAGTGGTGAACTGCCGAATTTGGTTTTCTCCGATGAGAAAACATTCGTTGTGCAGTAGTTTGTAAATAAACAAAATGATCGTCTATTTTCTTGTGGAAGAGGTGTCTGGAGTATTTTGGAAAGCAAGGTTGGCACTAAAAACTACCAAAGTGTCGATCACCTCAAGCAAGCGCTTCGCCGGAAATGGGCCAAAATACCGCAGTTTGACGGTTTCATTGGCCGTTTGAAAACCATAATTCGTGGCAATATTTAGGAGAGAGTTGGGCCTATATTATTATTATTATTATTATTATTATTATTATTATTATTATTATTATTATTATTATTATTATTATTATTATTATTATTATTATTATTATTATTATTATTATTATTATTATTATTATTATTTATTATTATTATTATTATTATTATTATTATTATTATCATTATTATTATTATTATTATTATTATTATTATTATTATTATTATTATTATTATTATTATTTTATTATTATTATTATTATTATTATTATTATTATTATTATTATTATTATTATTATTATTATTATTATTATTATTATTATTATTATTATTATTATTATTATTATTATTATTATTATTATTATTATTATTATTATTATTATTATTATTATTATTATTATTATTATTATTATAATTATTATTATTATTATTATTATTATTATTATTATTATTATTATTATTATTATTATTATTATTATTATTATTATTATTATTATTATTATTAATATTAATATTATTATTATTATTATTATTATTATTATTATTATTATTATTATTATTATTATTATTATTATTATTATTATTATTATTAAATATAGTTTTTTAGAATTGAAAATAGCAACATCTGGCAAATTAAAATGGAAAACATGGCCAACACTTAATAAAATATTTGATATCGAAATTATCCTTACAAGACGCCTTTTCCAAAAAATGGACCAATATGACCCCCATTTCTGTCCCAATGATTCTGGATCCAAATTTATCAAATATCAAAACTCTATCTATTTGTCGTATGACATACTTACATCCAATCCTGACGTCCCAAAAATTACCGTTTATCTACGCTCTGCCTAATTAGTCACTTTACTTCCTCCCCCAACTGCAGTCACCCACTTTATATCATTAACGCACACTTTCGCCACTTCGGAGATAAATGTGTCTCCACACACACACACACACGAACGTACTATTTGATGCCATTGCCATTATCACTGTATTTTAATGAGCACAGCGTATATCCTGGAGGCATCCTTTAATGTGTTGTTACATTTAAAGCAATTTCCTACTTTCTGCACAAATACATTTTATGTGCAGTTGTGTTCGACAACGACGACGTTGATAGGTTCCACGCACAAAATTTGAAGTGTAGTGTATGTATGTATGTATGAATGCACATACATATTTAATGTCTATACATGAAGGTGGTATCTTCGAATGTATATTTTGGTTTGATGTTATAATTAACGTCATCATTTCATTGCATATTGTGTGCATTTGCACATTTTTACACAAATGATCGCATTTAAAAGAATATTATATTGCAATGAGTGAAAAATAGCGAGGGCAATGGTATGAACAGTGTTGCCATGGTATTGGTAGTAGTCATTCAACCAAATGGACTAGATGTTATATAGTTATATTTCAAATATTAAAAATTTTGAATAAACGTAAAAATCTAAGCCCAGCAAACAAATACTAAATATGCTCACTAGAGGTTGGAATCGGGACTAAAGGCATATTTTTCGCTAAGAAAGCCTGCACAAGTTATTTTGCCAATAAAGATAAAATATATGAATGATATACTTTTCCATT